GGAGAAAATTTGGGATAGGTCTCCAGATTTTTTGGTACATCTGGATAACCAGTGGCCTGCCATGTTGTTTGCTGCTCTTGGAATTATGCCATTTTACCTACCAACTTTGGGTTCACCACCCTCAGCAGCCAGCAGCTGACTGGGTTTAGAAATGCCTCTATTTCCAGTTGGCCTGGAACAAGAAGCAGAGCTGAAGGCAAAGGTGGAGGGGCCGTCAGCCAGCACCTAGAGCCAGCAGTCTGCATTCAGACGTCTAGTCTCCCAAACTATGAGAGAATAAATTCCTATTTGTTAAGCCATCTACCTGTGGTATTTCTGTCATAGCAGCACCAGAGAACTAAGACAGACTTAAAAGGAAACAAATCCAATGGACCAGAACTATTCTCTTTGCTACTCTCCAGAGGGGTTAAAATGAGTTCCTTGCTGAGAAGAAACTACACACTACACATACATATTTTTAGGTTCGTGGAACAGAAGTATGCAATGTAATCTGTATAAATTATAATTTTGAAGCACTTGTTCGTCTTTGTCAAGAAATCTTTTGTCATCATCATCATAAACTCTTACGTTATAGAAGCCCTCCAGGTATTTTCAAATAGGCATGTGGACTTGAAATTCTATCTTAATGAGGTTTATTCCTGTCTAGCCATGCAGCACATTAAAAAAACTCCTAAATTATTAAATGGTAGCTATCATGTTTCTATAAGAGAATATAAACATTTTAAAAATAAGTAAATGTAGGATCTGACACTCATCAGAAGACAAAAATGTTTTGAATCTTCTAAAGATCAAGAGTAAAGTACGGAGTTGTATCTAGGGCAGTTTATTATGATTATTATTGTCATTTTTATAAATATTTTATAGCTGATATAAAGGTTTCTTATATTTGATTTAATTTTATCACCACAATCTTGGTAAAGAAGGAAGAATAAGTATCACTAAATCTGACTTGGAGATGAAGAAAATGATAATATACTTATCTTAATACTAAATTTTAAGGTACTGTATTGTAAGTAGAAGCCCTAGTGAAGAAAGATGTAGCAGTCTGCTTCACAAGATTACAGCCTTGAAAACCCTATAGAGAAGTTCTACTCTGTTTTACAGGGTCGCTATGAGTTGGAATCTACTAGACAACAGTGAGAAGATCTGGTAGCATAGTGCCTAAGGCATTTGACTGCTAACCAGAAGGCTTGCGGTTCAAACCTACTAGCCACCCCTCGGAAGGAACGTTGGGCAATCTACTTCCATACTGATACTGCCTCAGAAACCCAAGGAGGGGTTGCTATGAGTCAGGGTCGACTCGATGGCACATAACAGCAACAACAATAGCCAGCAGTGGGTTTTGGTATTGTAAGTCACACTGAAGAATCACATTAGCTGATAAATATATTTCCAGTATCATTTTACTGATTTATCTTCAAGTTTTTTCACTTTCAATGGAATAGAAATTTTGTTTACGGATAAATTTTTATTAATTTTAGGAAACTACATTTATCATTCTTGAAAAGAACATTAAATTTCTTCTTTCCTTGCTGCAAATGTTTCTAATGCATTTTGAATCAACTGCCAATAGGGTGTTATAGAAAGTTTACCATTTTGATTCCATCAGAAGTCTGTGTAGACCATATTATTTACAAAACTTAAACTCAGAGATTTAAATTTTCTTTGACTTACTTCAGAACTATTGGATTTTGTGTCCCTGATAAGATTGATGAGAACAAATAAGGGAAGTAGGGGTTTTATTACAAGCCCTTCTTTAGGCGAAAGTAGCAAGATAGAATAGTTCAGTGTTTCTAATTACATCAGAAAAAGTTGGCAAGACTGTGTCCCTTAAGATTCAAAAGGATTTAGATTGGCTGTTTTTAATTAATTTTTAATCATAGTATCAACAAAATAGGTAGTTATATGGGTCCAGGAACCTTTTGAATATGCCCTTTTGACCTAAATACTTCTTAATATAACTTTCATATTGATTTTATAAATGTAACTTAAAAAAATAATTTTAAGTTAATTATGATATCATCCTATACTCTCAAATCACCCTTTAAAAACTGGAAGAGGACCAAATAGGCCTACTATTCGACAGAATAATGCTTCTGCAGAGCCCTTTACATGTATTACCTCATTGATTACTTATAAGAGTTCTATGAAGTAGATACTATTTTCTTGATTTTACAGATGAGAAAACTGAGACTCAGAGACATCAAGTAACTTGTTCAAACCCATCCAGCCAAGAAATGGCAAGGCAAGCATTCTAAACCTGGCCTGATTCCAAACCCTCATATGTTCCAGTGGAGGATTTTCTGAGAATTTTTTTTCCTCTTTTGTAGTCATTAAATTGTTGGGTGACAGAAAAGATGACTGGCCCCAGAATACTCATCACTTAGGAAATCTTATTCAGAGGTGAGAAATCAGCTCAAAACTCAGGAAGAATTCTGCCCCCCATCCTCTTTTGCTTATTCACATCTCTGAAAAATGTAAGGGAGAAAAAAGCTCTAAAAGAAACATCATTCCCTTTATCCCAACTGATGATAGTTCTAATAAAAGTTTCTGATCAGAAAGAAGGCATAAATTAAAATCTAAAATGAGATTTAATGATTTTTTTTCCTCTGAACTGAAATTATCCCAGTTTCTTGGTTCTCTAATGTATCTAGAAAGCTGGCTTGATTTTGTTGGAAACATAAAAGGTACGCAAAGATACTGACTTGCATTGCTTCTAGGTAAATCAGGTTCATATGTAACAGCACATTTTATTTTAAATCAAATTAAGTTATTGATAGCCCTTGTGTAAAGTGACATTCCACATTATGAAAGGATAATTTTATTAGTAAACTCTCAGCAAATGTGTTTCATCGGACTGAAGTTTTATAGGAGAGACAGGGTTGTCTTTCACATAGATTCTGTAAAATCACTCACTGAACCAAGAGATGTACTTCCTTTTTTTTATGGCTTTGAAGATCTATATTAAATTTCATATCGTAGGGACAACAAATGTATTATTATAAGTGGCTTGACTCTAGAGAAATATCAACTCCTTCACAGGTAGAATACAAATATCATTTTCACATAATATCTGAGTAAATAGTCTTAAACACTTTCTAAATCCTATTATGTGTACAAACTTTGCATGTAAAGGTTGAAGCGAGCTGGCTGAGGAGTGTAAGTAAACACATTCTTCTCCCATAAGTACACAGTATTGAATGCAGGAGAAAAGGGCTTTATACTCCTATTCCCTCAATCCCTCAATCAAAGACCTTTTAAAAGAAAAGGCAGAGTTAAAATAATAACACCAGTTCTATGATAAGAAGTTCCGTATTTGAACTTCATTGAATTACAGAGTTAGAAAGGGCCTCCCAGGATCCAGAAAACACAAGCTCCCAGCCAGACCACCACTACCACTTTCTAACCCACAGTCGTTTGTGTGAATTCAAAGGCCCTTCAGCACCAGATAGTGGGAGCTCAGGGTGTCTGTTACACAATCCTGTTATCACATTGAATCTTCTGTTCCGAATTCTGGTGATAACCTATTTGCTTTTCACTTTAAAAATTTAATCTAAAATCTTGATTCATTTTCAGTGACCTCTAAGACGGTGGTGGTAGCATGGTGCAACAGAAAGAGCAGACTTGGGAATATGATTCCTAGTCTCATTTTCTTCATCTATTAAATAGGAATCAGCACAGGGTTTTTGTGAGAACTGGAAGTGACAAAAGTCTTGGCACAACTCCTGGTGCATAGCAGTGCTCAGTGGTAATTATGATGAGCATAGTTATTCTGTAAGGAAGCAGTTCTTATAAAGCATCCCCTTAAAACGACCTGCTAAGTGATTACAGACAGGGAGCTTATTTTAGGTCTTAACAATCTTAACCTACCCTAGAAAAGCACTTTGGCATTGCCATATGTTTATACATTTGGGTTAGAATGTAAAACCTCATGCAGCTTTTACTTAAACATTGACCTATTGCAATTTAATATCAAATAGTTGTTGCCAACGTGCAGAGAGACACTGGTGTAGACCTTAGTATATAGCTGGGCTCTCGAGATGCAGAGCCAGCAAAACCACATTCAGTCAGATGACAAGGATGTTTCAAGATGTTTCCCAAATAAAGGTTCTTTGACCTAAGTAGGGCTTTATCTTAACGTATCCTAACTCATGGAGAACCTGACAAACTATTCACACATTCTTTTATAGAGCATAGAACTCACAATGAAAAGTTAATACAAGTCTCAACTGAGAACCATATCGATTCAGCATCAAATCAAAGATGCTCTAAGAAATAAGCTCCTCCCTGAATTTCAGGAAAAAATTATTCTTGTAGGCCACCAGAATCGTGGTAATTGAGCAAATGCATGAAAGGATTGATTTAGCTGCTAACAACCAAAGAAGAACTGAATTTTCTACAGGGCAACTTCCTCCCTTTTGTCTTTTGCTTCTACATCAGCCATTAGACACTGCTTTGATAGTTTCCTTGGGTCTAAGTGTGACAATTTTCTCCCCACAAAATTCTAAAATAATACATGAGGACTGTAAATAAATTCCAAAATAAAATTTCAAAATAAATAAACAGGGTACAATTTAGCTAGAGTTTGTTTTCTTCCCTGGGCCCTTGATTCTAATATATGCTTTTGTTCTGTTTTATTTTCCCAGTTCTAGTACAATTCTAGACTGAAAACCATTTGAATTCAGCATCAAATCAAGGGTAGCTCTAGGAAATGCTAATAACCCAATAGGTTCAGAAATCCATATTTGTCTTCTTCAAAGCAGAATTTTCCATGTTTGAAAGTGCCTGACATTTTGAAGGCATGCAACAGGTTTGAATGACTGCTGACAAAATAGCTCATATGTACCTGTGACTGAATTCTGAGAGAGAAAAACAAAAGACATTTAACAATCCCTTTTGGAGTAGAGGTTGCCATAATATTTAAATCTGAACAAAATATTCATAAACCCTGATGTGGGTTAACAATTTTTCAGAAAATTATGGAGAATGAACTTCCTTACATTACTCTGGTGTTTATTGACCTCCATGGCATGCTTGACTTCAGGTGGCTCCTTCATGTGGGCATAATCTGAAAATCCCTTGGTTGCATCATGTTTCTGCTTGTAGGCAACCTTTTAATAAAAAAAAAAAAAATATGGTCAGTTTTACTCAGAGATGTATTAAATTCTTATCTGTCTCTATAGCAGAATACTGATTAAAAGCGGGGGGGGGAATGCAGAACAAAATTCCAAATCTCAACAGAATCAAAATTTTCTTGAGCCAGTGAGACTGGATGACTCCCCAAAACTACTGCTCTGAGATAACTTTGAAACTTTGAACCAAAACTATTGCCTGAAGTCATCTTCAAACTGAAAAAGAGCTTATCTTAATTAATAAGAGTGTGGGAATCAGCACAGGGTTTTTGTGAGAACTGGAAATGACAAGTGTCTTGGCACAACTCCTGGTGCATAGCAGTGTTGTGAGCATTGTACTCTTTTAAAGAATTATCCATGTGAGATCAAATTGACAATGGCAATTTGAAAGGTTGGATAAGAAGCTTCGGGGGCAATGAGTAAGATGAAAGTAGAATAATGTGGAGAAGGATAGCAAGAAAGGTAGCACAACATGAAGACTGTAATCAACATCAATGAAATGTCCATGTTGAAAGGGTGCATGTTTGGTTGTGTACTTTCACCAAAATACAAAATTAAAAAAAAAAAAATTATCTGTACATTTCAGCATTTTACTAAGATTTCATATAACTATAAAATCTCACCACCAATGGTTAAGTTTGCCTAAGCCTCAATAACAAGATATTATATATATATGATGCTTTAATCTTAGTGCTTCTGTTAAGACTTCTAACTCCTTATTGTTTATTTCAAAATGTCCTTGACCAAAACATGAAATCTCCATCACATTCATGTCACTTAAATCTCAGCTATGGTTTTGGGAAATCTTCTACACCAAGAGCTTTTAGGATTGTGTGTGTTCAAATTTTAAATCATAAGAAAACAACTGACACCAACCAAGAATTATGTACCCAGCAAAACTGGCCCTCAAATATGATGGTGAAATTAGGACATTTCCAGATAAGCAGAAATTAAGGGAATTTGTTAAAACCAGACCAACCTCACAAGAGATGCTAAAGGGAGCCCTTTGGACAGAGAAGCAACAACAGCCAACAACAATCTGGGTTATGATGACATAACCCAGAAACCAACCCAGCTATGGAAGTATCCAAAGTAAATAAGCCTACAAGATTGTAAACAGGGAACCAGAGACATCAAATGACAAATGAGGACAACTACAAACCAAACAGAGGGGAAAAACTGTGTCATTACAGAACTTCTAGATGATAGGGAAGTCAAGACAACTATAAGATAGAACGGACTGTTCTAAACTTGGGAAGAAAACTATAAATCACAGGGTAACCTTAAAGAAAAATGATAAACCTTCCCATCAAAATAAAAAAGAGGACAAGCACAAATATTTAGCAAATATGAAAACAATAGCAACAAAGGAAGTGTTAATATGATCCATAAACAAAACGAGCTCAGCACAGAAAATTATATGAATAAAGAAACTGACACCACAAAAAGTACATGACAAAAGTGACAGCAACGAATTCATATTTGCTGATAATTACATATCTGACAAGGGACTTATCTCCAAGATTTATAGAAAACTCCAACTCCTCAACAGCAAAGGAATTAAAAATCCAATTGAAAAGTGGGCAGAAGACACGAATGGACATTTCACCAAGGAGGATATTCAGGTGGCCAGCAAGTACATGAAGAGATGCTCACGATCACTGGTCATCAGAGAGCTGCAAATCAAAACAATGAGATACCATCTCACCCCAGCACTGATGGCAAGGTTCAACGCAATAGAAAATAACAAATGCTGGTGGGGATGTGGAGAGACTGGGACTCTCGTACACTGCTGTTGGGACTGTGAAGTGATACAACCACTGTGGAAAACAATATGGCAATTCCTTTGAAAGCTAGAATTGGAGATACCATTTGACCCAGCAATCCCATTACTAGGTATATATCCTAGAGAAGTGAGAGCCAGGACAGGAACAGATATATGCATACTCAGGTTCATTGCAGCACTATTTACAATAGCAAAAAAATGGAAACAACCTACGAGCTTATCAATGGAAAAGTGGATGACCAAACTATGGTACACACACACAACAGTGCTATGCAGCACTGAAGAATAATGTAGAATCTGCAAAACACCACATATTATGGATGAACTTGGAGGACATTCTGCTGAGTAAAATAAGTCAATCACAGAAGGACAAAGATAGTATTAGTTCGTTGTTGTGGAGAGTCAAGGAAAGGTTTATATATGGAGGGAAATGTTCTTTGTTGGTTGCCAAGGAGGGAGGGAACACTGCAAAAAAAAAAAAAAAGCATTGACCCATGTCACTTTGGTTTTGTGTATTTCACTATACATAAATTATATTTCAATAAAACTCATTAGAAAAAAGAAGAAAAGAGAAAGTCTTATTCACAAGACAGAAGTTCACATGTGACAACACAACACCCAATGACTTCTCTACCTTCAGATGATTCACATGAATTAAGGCACTGAACCCCTGTACAACATAGACGTTGTCTTCACCACAATTCCATTTTATCCAACTCTTTCCTCAAGTGCCTGCAATGTAACAGATAGGGTCTTTCCAATCCAAACTAGACTTGGTTATCTAGGTTATCACCTTCCATGTGCTAAATGCTATTACTGTATCCACTGATCCCAACATTTTTCTTTTCATGGCTATGTTGAGGTTTCTGTCAACTAATGTCCTTCAATCTTATCCTGTCTTGATCAGTCACATAGAATGTCCCACATCCAATCCTTGTGGATTATCAACTCAAATGCAGCATCTCACACTCTTCTATGTGTAATTTATCTTGTTATGGAACCCTGGTGGTACACTGCACCTGGCTGGGAGGTCTGCAGTTCAAACTCACCAGTTGCTCTCTCTGTGTAACAAAGATGTGACTCTGCTTCCATAAATTTACAGTCTCGAAAACCCTGTGAGACAGTTTTACTCTGTCCTATAGGGTAACTGTGAGTTAGAATTAACTCAATGCAATGGTTTTAATTTATCTTATTAGATAGTCTGTCCATCAATTTAATCCATCAGGATATCTAAATCTGATTAATTTATCTTTAAATTGTCACCAATTAACTATGTTAAACAGGAAACCCATTAAGAACTTCCATTCAAGTTAAGAATACCCATTATCTCAGTTCCATTACATTCAATAACATTTGGTGGGGGAAGGGGAGTTTAATGTATGGTCTCAGTGTATAAAATAATTTAAAAAGGTCTACGAAATTTATTTTTATTTCTTAGTAAGTAGAAAAAGCTAGCATATGCTTGTCTCCTTTTTTGCTGGATGCCTGGTTTATTTTGTATTTTAGACTATCACACTCATGACTTCATACACATAACCAATGCAGCTGATCATTTTGTGAGTTATCACAGAAATGGTGAGTCATCAAGCACAGTTTTTAAAAGCACTCTTTCTTAAAAAGGCTATGTAATTTTCTACTTGCAACATTAAAATAGTCATTTCATTTATAGCTGTTACTAAGTACCACTTTAGAATCAAGATAACATCAAATTGGAGGCAGCTGAACTTTAATTCATATTAATTTTATCCCTTAAAACAGCTAATAGAAAATTATGTCAAGCTAATAAATTTTCTGTTAAGTTTGATTTCTTAGGATTTGTCATTATTGTGTGGCACTTCCCCAGATTAATACTGTTCCCTACATACATTGAGAACTAAGATTGCCATTCACTTAAATAGTGGAGGCCACTTGCCATGTAGTCTTATAAGCTTTACATATTTACATGTTTAAGTCATATATACATTAATCTTATTTATTTGATCTTGTAAAATATTTTTTATATTATATATATACATTGTTGTTGTTATGTGCCGTCGAGTCGGCCCCGACTCATAGCGACCCCTCCTTGGGTTTCCGAGGCAGTATCACTACGGAAGTAGGATTGCCC